CACGGGTAATTCTAAATAGGTATTTTATTATTTTATCATAAAAATTTTATTATAAATAATAATTATTTTATTATTATTTTATATTATATAATTTATATTTATATTATATTATAATTTTGTTATTAAGATAATATCAGCTGGAGCTGTTTAAATAAAAATAAGAATCATTTTTTAACAACATACAATGAAACGACGGGTTTACATGCAAACTATACATACATACACGCACACACATACACACACGCACACGCACACACGCATACACACGCACACACATACACACACACACACACATACCATTTGGACCGTACTTTTCTTGGTACTCGGCTACCTGATCGTCGCTCAGGCCCGTGTTTTCATTCGTTCTGAAATACAAAACCACCTCTGCCGCCGATTTTGAATGGGCGTCATCCATTTCTCAAATTCAAGGGGTGTCCAAGTCTTCAAAAAAGTATTTGATTTGTATTTAAACTCGAAAAATTAAAATAACCAATACTAAATATCATTATATTGGTAATTTTTTCTTAAGAGTGGGGACAGAGGAAGTTTTTAGATGTTGAAAGCGAATAAATTTAGAGATATTCAGGTTTGGATTTGAGAAATATATACGGTTAAAAATGAATATTTTATCAATTACCGTCAATTTGCACATACAAATAAGAAAATTGGGGTAAGAAAATGTGATTTATATACACACAGTTTGTATTACAGCATCAAAAATGTTACATAAAAAACTTTTCATCCCGATCTGACCTATAATATTTAGCTACCCGCCACCCAAAAAAATAATTAAAAAAATGGCCGTAGCACAAGTTTGAAGTAGAGGTTGCTAATTTTTTTTTCAATTTTGGCGCGAATGATGGTGACGTCATTTTTAACGTCGTTTGCTGAGATGTGTACAACAGGGCGTTCAAGTTTAATGTACAATAATATTGTTTGCAGATATTTTGTAGAATATTTAACTAACATCAAAGTTGAAATTTATGTTTTTATCGAAATTTTGTGAAATAATTTACTTGATTTTTCTCCCTTTGCTTGCCCAACAACAACCGACAACAACAACAACAACAACCAAAAACTCTGAATAAAAAAACAGCAATCTATATCCTCTTCCTTCCTGTTACTATGTCCTATCTTTGTTTTTGTTTTATTACAAATAAATAAATTTATCAATTTATTAATTATTTATTTATTTGTGTTTTGTTGTTGTTCCTAAATTGCGTTGTTGCTTTGAAGGGAAAAAAATATCAAAAAGATAGTCAGTCAGTAAGTCGGTCGGTTGGTTTGTTTGTAGGTAAGTCTATTCCATCCATCCATCCATTCATTCATTTCATCATAGTATATATATATATATATATATATATACATACATATATATATATAATTATAACTTTGTATGTATGCT